ATATGACGAGTTTTTTTTGGGTTTCTACTTCTATCACAAGCGAACAGTCTTGTTCGGACGGCGCCATTCTTGTTTCTCTCCACTTTCTGTCTAGACACATTGAAGTGCCTTGACAAAGTCCACTTGTGGGTCACATCCTCAGCTGCAGCTTCGGAAGGGTGTAAACCTTCAGGAGGAGGGTCGATTTTATATACTTGTGAAAGCTGAGGTTGCGTTGAGCTACTAATAATGTCTTGGTCGATGAGAGCTGGGTCTGCTATCTGCACTCTGTATCGGTGTTTGTCGATGGGCTTAATTGTAGTTATGGTAATACAACCCGAGGACGTCGAAAAATTTGTCGAGGACTAAAATTCGTTTATAAGACGGCAAAGATCTTCTCACACATCTTGATAAGACGATCTTATCCTTTGCGCATGTGTTTGATCTATTTATGCTAGGTTGCTCCCAGTTTAGGCGCTCCTTAGTTTCTCCCATATTTCTGCAGCAGAAGGACCGGATGTGAAGCAACTACTTACATACGTCGTGGCGCCTTTTCTCACTGAGTGAGTGCCAACATCACCCCCTGTCAGGAACCTGGTTAACACACCACCCACGACATCGCCTCCCAGCACGTTTTTCAATTATAAAAACGACTGGAGTCTACTGCCTGCGTCAAACAAAAAACAAGCAGCAAAGAAAACCCCAAGAGCTAGTATGGGGAAATTTTCTGGGATTGTTGGGTTGGCATATACGTGCCTTGGATCACGGGGGCGGCTACCATCTTGGCAATTTTTTATATGAGCAAATGTGATCGTAATTGCATCTTCACACCAAGATAAATGAGCATGCATTATCGATTCTGCGCCCTTCGCACGATACAGGAGGCCCCTGCACACTACCAGAAAGGATTGACCAAACGCGTCGCGCATTTTGGTTGACTTCAGCCTATTCATACATATGGTAGGATAACGTTATTTTGGCAAATCTTGCTGGTACGGTTTCTATCCAATCAGTGCTGAATATTGTAAATGGCCGTTCTATCATGTGCAGACATGGACATTGTCCTTTTTGCTATTAAAAACTCAAACCATTCGTGGCAGTTACATTCTGTCCCTCGCTGTAGATCGGGGTCTTGCTCCTCTGGTAACTGCGGAGGAGCTCAAGTGTTGGAGCGGCTTTGCGAACGCGGGGGAGGGGTGGAGTAGTAGTGGAAGATCTTCACGCTACGTCCGATGTCGGGTCCAGATCACAAGCGAGGCCTTCGAGCCTGTACGATCTGGCGGTCTTGATCTGCGATCTGACCGTAAGGATGTCTTGCGGGTGTGTTCCCTTGACTTTGGTTTTCTTTTCGTAGTACTTGCCGCTTCCTATAGCCGGATCTTGAGAGTTGAGAGCCTCTTAGATATACCCGGTCAAGTAGTAAATCCGGTTAGCCTTACGGATCTGCACGTATATGAGAAAAGCTCACAAGTGGTAGGAACTGGCCAATATATTATTCAGTTATCACAGACAACGCTAGATCTGCTATTCCCATCCTCACCTAGCTCGTACGGCCAATGTAGCTCCGATTCTTGAGGGCAAGAAGGCACATGCGTAACGCAAAGCAAATTGAGGTCTGATTTAAAGTTAGGCCTAATCCAGCCGGGATCTTTACCCTCTCTGCCCTTTACTCACTAATGTAAAATGCCAAAATAGAACCCTGCGATATATTGTTATACAACGCGATTTTTTACCATTCGGGCGTTATAAGCGAAATTTCTCTCATTGAAACTGCACATTTATAACAGTGCTGTCAGCAGTGATGGCACATGGCGCCTTTTTAAAAATATCAATTATGTTAAAACTTTGAATTGACGGTTGAAACTTTGTGGAAACGTTGCGCTTAGTTTCAGCATTACAAACAGCCGTTTGCTTGCAAAAAGCAGTCTAGAAGCTGAGAAATAGAACTGTTTATACTCGCCTAAACTGCCATAAAGGCGCCTTTACTCCATTTCTGCCATCGCTGCTGGCTAGGCCATTGAGAGCAGCACGGATGTGGCGGGCTCGATTCCCATCGAATGTGAAGGTGTTAATTCTCCGATCTCTTAAAATTTGCTGTCGAAAAGATGAATGACTAGTGTTCAGCTGTAATGATTGGTTTCTCACGTTTGTTCTGGACCTCTGCTCCCAGTATTGGCCCGCAGTGGTTTCGTTGAAAGGTCGCGAAATAGCCTCAGCCAAACAAGTTCGAATGTTTCAAACATCTTCCCGACTCTCAATACAGTCTCAATTGAACCATTTCAAGAGGTTTTACCGGCTCGCGATAAATCGGAAAAACCTCAGCTGGAACGAAGATGAAGCGGATCAAGGGCTAGTTTGCGAGAGCGTTCTAATTTTATCCAACGCCCTTTCAGAGCGCGTAGTAATCGAAGGGCGCTCTAATCGATGGGGGCGTTTTATTCGGTATTATACGTTAAATCCTCTGCCAGGCCTGGCTATTTGTCCTTTCTCTCCTTTTTAACTAGATCTGTGGCGCAATTATTGTATCGTGGCTGATCACAGGTTTACCCCCGATCAGGCCTACCACCGATCAGGTATATTTCGGGATCATGGGTACACCTGGATCCTGACGATCTTAGATCTCGGGCCCAGATCACGACTCTCCACTTGCTCTTTCAGATCCCGAATCCAGATCTCGGATCTTGCGATCTTCACTTAGACCCTAGTAACTAGGCTATTAGTTTAATAATAGTTGGCATCGTCGCCCCCGCGTTCGAATCACTACAACTTCTGTCACGATTAGCGATCTTGGATTCAGTCGAATCCACAGTGTCACTTATCCAGAACAGTGTCCGACAGTCTCTTCCCGCCTTCTTATTACTCGGAAATCACTTCACCACATAGACTTTCCTGTGGCACCACGTCGCTCCATTGCCGTGAGATAACGCATGCGAAGTGAGTACTCCCGGATCCAATGAGCCCACTAAGGATGTCCTGGTAGATTATTGTTCAACTGCGTCTCTATTCAGTTGTTCGACTTGGCGGAATGAGCTGGTGAAAAGCAATAGGCGGCGGTGACTTTAAACAGCCATACACGACTCCATTTATCCAAACAAACAACACTTGAAATTTGAATGTGATTACCTTTTGTGTTCATATTTACATTTCAAAATTGCATGGCACCAATATCGCATGTTTTACACCTGCTCGAGCTGTTGCGCCTTGTCCCGATGTTACCACGACGCAGAATGAAGAAGCCTACCACCGGGTATTTTTGTGGTTCATCTTTTGACTGCGCGTTCGGAGTGAATTGGCCTTACCTACGATACGCTTATTTATAATAATAACTGCCGTCATTGACCGCAACCTGAAATCTGAGGGGGGGGGGCGCCCAGAATAAAAGATTATTGGCAATAATCCACGCTAAAAGCAGGTTTTAAACCACGTATTTTAAGCTATTTCGGGGTAATTTTCTCTAAAAAAAAAGCGGGAGGGGTCATAATTTTTCTGGCCGGTGCGCCCGTCTTGAATGAAGATCCACCCCTGATTGACCATGCAGCACATTCTTGGGCACGTTGGTGTGGAGCTGATGGTTCTACGACTGGATCTTGCGACGGTAACACGAAACTTCAAATACAGGGATTGGAGGAGATGGAGCTGGAGGTGGCGGCCAAAGTGGTGAAACTGACCACGGAACCGCTGAAGTGTTGAGCGACCAAGGGAAGGGGGGCGAGGAGGCGCACCTGCAGAAACGTCAGAGGTGCAAACATTGTGGATGACCGGACTGCAGTAATTGCAGAGACTAAGAGGAAGAGAAACGTCCAGAGGTAGCAAGAGATATCAAAGCATTGCAATGGTTGACGTCCCACTGGCCTGAGTGCAAAGTTGACGCTTTCGGCAGCTCCATGTCGATGTTTGGAATCCAAAGTTTGGATCTCCTGGCTCGTTGGATCTGGGCATGTGTGTTTCTAAAGACAGCTCGTAGACCCCAGGTGGATCGCTGGGTTTCTATCATCTTAAAAACGACGGAGGGAGAGAAAAGTTTGGCAGTTGTGATGACAGACTGAACCAAGCGTGCCCGCAAGCTTATGCGGCTGTCGGAAGGAGCTTCAGCTCGGAGGATGAAAACGCTGCACTCTTTGACACCCAAGCGATTCTATTTCGAAGTAGGAGCTAACGCTCTCGCTATTGAGTACGAGAAGTTTGGGTAGGAGGGAGAGGTACGTTGACCACAACTTTTCGCGCCGTTTCTACCGAAAACCGCCTCCAAAGTGCTGAACGCCGAAAGGATAATCTCTTCATTCTCAAAATCTTTATCGAGAGCGAAGGATTCGAGATTGTAGTCGTACTCGTTCACGCTTGTGTCCCGGTGCTTCGCTTTCGCTACAACCGAAATGGACCTGACTACAAGTGTGATTTGTGTTTTGACAACGAGTTGAATGTGTGGAATACTTAAGGCCGTGCGATTTAAGCTAAAACCAGCTGTAATTGGTATTAAAGAGCTGGAATGTCTCAACCAGACAAAAAATGACATCCAGCAGGATAGCTCCAAACGACTGGTTTCAAAATTTAGCTCTGGGTTGAATTTTGAATCGTCCTGCTTTGCGCCTTCAAATCCAGCCTTTTTCTGATGGAACACGATCACTTATTTTATCTTTATTTTACTTAACAAAATACAGCTCTAGCTTATTTTCGAACAAGCCCTGCAAACCGAACACGGCCTGAGTACACGACTGCTGCGAGCGTGTACGTCTTACGTTCGTCGTAACGAGCTCGTGATTTAGGTGTTGAAGTGAAGCACTGGGTCTCCGATATTGCCTCTGGAATGCTGAGCTCCTACTCGTCAGAAATTCCAACATTGAAACATTGTTTTCAGAGACATTGCGTTCTGCGAAGATTGTGGTATCAGCAAAAGTCAACGATCCACGAAGACGAGTTGGCGGATAAATCACTCCCGAGATTACTGTTGGGGTTCTTCGTGATACAGAAGACCGGAGTGAAAGCAAAGACGTGGCGTTAGAGCATCCAAGACCCTATTCAGACATCGCGCGAACTGGGTGGTGTGTTCCATTTTAATGCTCAACGAACGCTCATTGATACAGAACATAGGAGCTTCTGCATTGTCGGGAAAGCTTCGTCGATGCTGTTTTTTGACAGAGTATCAGAGATTAAGACGAAGAGACAAGCACGCAGATACCGTGGGCGAGCGATGTTTTACATTTACCTGATTCACGTTCGTTCGTTGTCCATACATGTACAGGAAGTATCCATCAGCATTTCAACACGCCCCCATCCTGTCTGCACTACTCACCTTACTCTGCAGCAGCGTTTTTGCTGTCTCTCTTCGAGTCGCCCCTTTTGCGATGAGCTCTTTGCTGCCATTTTTTCTTCTTTTGTGTCGTCTTGTTGGAGTCTCCTTTGAAGCGCGAGGTTGACGACGACTTCTCCACAGTCTCTACCCGACGCACAGCAGTCACCTCCGTGGCCTCAGCTTTCTTATCCTCATGGGACTCCTTTGTGCCCGAGCCTGATGACTTGTCGCTGTTTCTGCGTTTGACATTTTTGTTGCTTTTGGGTTGACCTATGTGGTGGCTGTCTCGTGCTGCTCCATGCTGCTGCTGCTTTTTCTTGCGCCGGTCATTCTTCTTCCCAGGAGCAGAAGAGTGATCTCCACCTATTGCCACACGGAGTACGTGACGTCGAATATTTTTCTGGGGGATGTGCACCTCGTCATTATCGCCCTTTAGGTCGTCGTCAACTTCGTTTAAGTCGTCTGGTACGCACTTACCCGTCCCATGCTCTGGTGACAGACACTTGAGGCATGGCGGTGTCGCGAATAAAGCCTGATGATGAACCCACACGCGACCCACCCGGCCATCGGCCGCCTTCCAGTCGATTCGCGTTCTTAGGGATAACTTTCGAGGACAGTTTTGAGCCTGCGTCAACAGCTCCACCTCCCACCGTTTGTTCTTGTTTTCGCTGCCACCGTCTGCTGCTGCCTCCTCCACCTTGCCAACACGAAACGATTTCTGGAAATCCTTGAAGAGCACCTCAATAATCTCCTTCGTCAGTTCTTCGTCGGCGCTCTGCAACACCATCACATACGATCGTTTCATCTTATTAGTTTGCTGTTGGTTCGGCTGTCTCTGCTCCTCGCTTGCTACAAAGTCATCTCCAGCCGCTTGTTTCGACTGCTTTGCCTTCCCAGTTCTTCCAGCAGGTTTCTCGACGGCGCAAACTTCATCAGAGAAGCTCTCGCCACGCGCTAACAATTCATGGGCACGACGGAGCTCGTGAATGATTCTCTCTTGCCCCTTGAACTGCAAAACACAGCCTAGATCACGCCCGGTCTCCAGTGGGTCCTGGATGCTCATGCGCCATGTCTTGGCCTTGCGACTTCCCCATTGCCCAAGCTTCAACGCCGGCGTCTCTGGCGAGCGGACAGTCACGACACGCTCCGCAAAGTCAAACTGAGTGGCATAATATGCAAAGAACCCAACCAATAGAGTCGCCAACGACATGTCCGATGAGTTCCCCTCCAAGGAGCGCTCGAGGAAGGCTTGAGCGACGGCTCGATCCTCGCAGAATGCAATGTTGATGTCATTGTAGAACTGTGGCTGAATCTGTGCCGACTGTAGGAGCCCAGGGGCCTGAAGATTGGGAAGCACGCGTACCACTTGAAGGTAGTAGATACTGAGCAACACGAACGAATACGAGCTGAGAAATCCCATCGAGGCGTCACTGATGCCACGTTGTTTAGCCCAGTGCTTTACTGCGAGGCCCAGAGTACGCGCACGATCATCGAAAGACGCATAGGCGCGCAACAGTGGCGTGTTCCACGTAGCAAGCACATTGTCAAAGCACAAGTCGCACTCATAGTCTCGACCACTGCGTGTGTGCAAGAAGCGAATGATGGGGACTCGAGCACCAGCAATTACGTGACGCACCTCGCACTTAGCCGCACGCTCGAGAATGGCGCGAACAAGGTACAGATCTTTGCTCTGACGTCTGCTGTCAGCGATAATCGCCCTCAGATGTGCAGCTTTGCCACTAGCGTTGGAGTCATTGCTAGGCTCTGCGACTCCAAGCTTTGCGAGGTCGGCCAGAATAGCGCTGCGAAGCAGACGCATCTGCGCATTAAAGAACTCGAGCTGTCGACGCTGTTTGGTCTGTTTGTCGCCATTTTTACCAGATCGATCCAAGGAGTTGAGCGCCTGCGTGAGTTTCTCAATGCTCTTGTGAGTCTGAGCGTGAAGATCCAGCAATTGCTCGCTCTCTGTAGTCCGTACGTGCCCGTTCTCAGTAGCTTTCCCATCGATCAATCTCTGTAGTTGACGCTTCCCTATCACTTCATTGGGCGAAGACGAATCATTCTTAGAACTGCGGCCATGTGGAAGAAGGCACATGTCGAGATCCGACGTCCGCGACCCGTAGTGCGTCATCGAACTGCCGAACAGAATCACTTCACAGTGACGCCACTTGCTCACCCCATGTCGTAGAACAGTCTCAATGTCGCTCGCTACACGCAGACGACGCGCTTCTTCCTCTGGCTCAATACTCGACACCTCCACAATTCGCTGCAGCTCCGACATCCACAGCTTCTCCGCCTTTGAAGGTGCAGCTGTCACACAAGCTTCAACGTGTGTCTGTGTCGCTGCCGACTCCCTCAAGAATGTCAAAAACGACTCTACCTGCTCACATGCCGTGTCTTCCGCCACTTTGGACTTGTTCTTCTTCACTCGCGCCTTCTTCTCCTTCTTGTCGCGCTTCTTGCTCTTCGGTGGGGTGACTTCATCGTTCTTTCCCTCCACTTCAGGGATAAAATCCGTTGCCCCCTCCTCTGTCTTCTTAGCTTCCTCTTCTTTCAGAACCTCCACCCACCGTCTCAGCAACGTCTCATGTTCACGTGTGGCTCTGCTTAGGATCAACTCAGTAGCATTATCCACCACCTCAGCCACTACGATCCTCTCCATGGCTCCTTCCACTTTGGCATTGTTCTTCTCGGCCTCTCTCTGCTGCTTCTGAAAGTCCCGTCTCGAGGGCCTAAGCACATCGCCTACTTGCTCCACGAGCTCCTCTACGCACCACAGCGGCTCCTCCGCATCAGCCGCGCGCTCCTCTTCACCCTCAATATCTCCTTCTTCTTCTTCTTCTACACTTACCACCTCTCTCTTAGAGCCCAGCGCCAGCTCCTGACGCAGTCGTCGTTGTGTTTTAAACAGCGCAAACATGCGTTGCGTGGCAGCCTCGGATTTCGGCGTTGTGGCATCCCCAACACCATTACATCGGCCTAGGAGCCACTGGGCGAAGATGAGGTCACCCTCACCTGCCTTAAACCACGACGCGTCTCTGTAGTCACCAACAACGTCGGAATGCGCTTCATTTGACGAAGACTTGAGCTGCAACTTTAGTCGCGCATTTTGCGAATTCTGATTGCGCTCCGGGATGCTGCTCTGTGGTCGTGAACGTGGCTGCGTTATCGCCGTGGCGGGCGCTTCCATGGTCGAGGGACGAGAGATCCGACCACAAGGGACACTTCGGGTGATACGATTGGTAAAAACAATTGTGCGTTTTAACCAATGAAAGATGATGATGCTTCACGGTAGTATTTTTTTTATAATAATGACTGGAAAACACGAGCTGAGCTGCAATGTTGTCACTGCGCAGTGCGATCGTATCGAGAATCTCGATACGATATGGATGAATATCATCACTTATCGGACCTCACTAAGGCTTATTATCAGTTTTAATGGCCAATCATATATTTATTTGCTTTGGATAACCAATCATATCCAAATAATGTGTCAGTCTTGGCCAATCAATCTGTCAAGGGCTAGGTTGGTCATCATCGGACGTATTAGGTCCGAGGGGCACGGAAAATATGTGTATCCCTTTACAAATATTATGATGTCGGCGTATCACACGCATATTTTCATTTTATCCGACCGGTGCAACCATATCGATACATGTACATGCGACTATTAATAAATTAGCGCTTTCTAAAAACGGTTAATCAGCTGCAATTTGTAGCAAGTAGTAAAGTCACCACTGGCAACACCAGCTCTACGGCGAGGGTTGACGGCAAAGTGGCGGATCGGCGTTATTTTATTAAGTAATTATTTTAATACGTACTACGTGTATTAATACATGTAACAGCCTCCGCGTATCAGTACCACCGCTAGTAGATACTACGTATTACGGAGCTGTACTTCAGTGCAGACTTCGTACAGGTACCAGTACATGAACATTTTGTTATTACCACAGTATTATCATGTACACATAAGCACCTCCTGTCGCTCCGCCTTGCCTTATCCTCATCCTATATGCTGCACTTCCGGCTGGAGCAACGCCACGCTGCTCCGCACGCATCCTTCTTGCCTTTAGTAGTCGCATCCTTCTCCACGTCCCGCTCATTGACGTGCCTATGTCCCAACCGTGAGCTTCCACAACGATGCACCAGAGCTCCGTTCACACCGCATCTCTGCCAAGCAACGCGCCGACCACGTCCATCTTATCATCGTCACAGCGCCGCGTCGCTCTTCCAGCTCTTCATCGCCATCCACTCGCTTCCGCCATCGCTGCTGGTCCATCGCCACCCTTCCACTGTCGTCGCCGTCACCACACTTGGTCACCGCCACCCTTGCACCCGTCTCCACGCTCGCTCGCCGCCGCCTTTGCTGCCGCCGCACCCGCCGCCATCCGTCCACACGCAGGACTATAAGTTTTACCTTTGTGACCCACAACATATAAACATTAGATTTTATATATTTGTTTTGAGGGTCAGCATATACTCGCTGCTGCTTCACTTGAGAATGGCGTGTTGTGGATGCGACTTGTGGATGAAGCAAGATGGGCAGTTTACTGTGATGCGTTGATGGAGGTTGGCGAGGATCCAGAGCTGCTACTATTTCATTCCGAAAAGGAGGATTCCGTCAATACCTTAGAGTGTTTTTGTGGAGGTTCTTGAACTTACAAAGCAGTGTGAAGAAGAACAGAGCGCCTTGAAAGCTATCACAGACTTTATTCAGGCGCCTGATCTTAAGAAGAAGACTTGTTGGAGGAGCAGAGTTCTGCTGGAGCCAGTGACGAAGATGAACATTAGCTCAAGTTATTCAATTAATTCCGGTCTCATAGAAATCTCCGCCCTATTATCAGTTCCCCATCGCGCTCTATGCAATACCTTACATATATTATAATACAAGTACACACTATTTAATACAAGTGCTCCCGATCCTAGCTCAAAAGGAACCACGAAGCGCAGGATAAGACGATGTGTGAGTCTGGCTTCTGCTGTATGGGCGAACCGATCGCAAACTCTTCTCGGGCTATCGGTACCTACCTTAAAGCCCACCACCGCCAATTTTTAGCATAATTTCGCCAGCTCGCCAGCAATTGTAGCGTTTAAAGTACTTAAGTATTGTCTTGCTATCTCTAGGCCGACGGCGGTGCCGACGTTGCAGTCCGGATTTCCAGCTGGATTGAATCGGTTCAGATCGTACCTAACGGGAAACAGTGGGACCAGCGCGTCTTCTTTAGCCCTTCTGCGTTTCGCAGCAATTTTCACCAATAAGCTGGCGCTGCCGGCAGCTCGCTCGGCCAAAGAAGCAACGGCCATAGTAGACAGCAACTCGACCAGCAGTAGCAGCGCTGGAGTCCACCGAGCGACATCGCCGAGCGTCCTGGTGTCTCGGCCGCTGTGTCTGACCCCTGCCGCGTCGGTTTTCCCGCTCTACCGCCCAATATGCTCGCCAATAAGCGCCCACGACGCGCTACCGCGGCCGAAGACTCGCTGGATCCGCGCGTCATGACCGAACGCCAGCAACTAGCCTTCCTGCTGCGTGCCACGGCTCCATCCGACGCCTCAAGCAGCTCCAGTGACTCTGATTCCTCCAGTGACAGCGAGGACGATGAACCACCGCGTCGACGACGCCCAACCAAGCGTAGTAAGACGCGCACCACCCGTACGTCCGATATTTTTTACCTAACATTTCGAGGCGATTATTCGCTAACCGTTCTGTAAATTAAATTTCTTATGCCTCTCTTTCTTAGGTGGGGGTGGGAAGACGTCGCCGAGGGTGACAGACGCGCCTCCCGTGATTTATTGCGGTCGTGGACGACCGCCCAAGAACTCCATCAAGTTACCCAAGAATATGACGCATCCGCACGGCCGTCCGCACGTGAGGATGTCGCCTAGGAGCCATAATACGCGATCCGGAGATACCGCGATCGCGGCCGCTATCGCTGCAAGTTTAAAAGCGGATAAGTTGACGGCCAATCGAGCGCTCAAGGCCGAGAGAAAAGAAATAAATGTATCGGTGAAGCAGGAGAAGACCAGTCCATCGAGTGCCAGTGATGTGGCCATGTTGAACAGCACGACCGCAGCTCCGTTCTGTGCGCTATGCTGCGACCTGGAGCCGTTTTGCGACGCGCCACTATTCCTGTGCCCAGCGTGCGATCAGAAGTACCCGACCCAGAAAGCGCTCGGCCGTGTCTGTATGACATAGTCTGCAGAATTCATGAAGAGAGAGAGAAGAGCCGGCGAGAGACGTGGAAATAAAACAACAGCAGTGAAGATCGAGAAAAGTGATGCCGGTGCAGGCGCAAACGTGGGGACCAGTGGCGAGGCTGAAACGAGCGAGGTACCTGCTGGAAGTGGGGAGACGGCACACGGACGATGGAAGCGCAGTATGGGCGTGTGATGTCTATAGCTGTATGGATTCGATATGATTGAATGGATGCCTGTAAATCCTTCATCCGTGTCGACTTCCTGCCTATCTTCCTGCCTGCGTCTCCTGCTATGTCGATGCAGAGCGTCCGCAAAAGAACCTGCTCTACTGGCCGTCGTATATATATTACCCATCGCAATGACCTCACCCTGACTCATGTCATGATCACCAAGTACGTCAGCAGCAGCAGGATCAGCACCAGCACGATTATAACGATGAAGTTCTTCATTCCGCCCGACTGCTTGATAAGCTCTTGCGTCTCTTTTGTCACGATCTCTAGCGCTGCTTGGCCTTGTCTGTATCATCGTTTAGGTCATCCAACATCCTACCAGCGGCAGCAATTATACCACAACGAGAGTCAGTCTCAATCTTGGAAAAGATCACCAAAATATAGAGAGCGCTCACTTATTCTGTGTGTCGAGCTCTGTGCTAATGTTGAGGCTCATGTCTCCGAGGCGCTTGACTGCCGAGTGCAGCTCGTCCAGACTCTCGTCTTGCTTGTGCCGCTCGATCTGCTGTGCGCGCCGTTGATCGGCCACGTAGTCGTCATCCTGGTCATCAGGCTATTCAAGTGCGCCAAACTCAATCAATTCGATCACAGATACATAAAGGAGACATCTCCTTTACTGTAACACGCACCTCATTACCCAGCTTAGCATAGGACGGGGGCTTGCCCGGCGCGAAGGCGGGCGCCATGCTTGTGGCTTGCGTCGCGCACACTCACACAGTGGCACAGTGTGAGAATAATTTTCATGGCTCTGTGATTGGTCTAAAAATACCCTCATGTTAGCAAAACGTAAATTCCCAAAAGCCAAAACCTAAATTCGTTTTAACACTTGCAATCATAAAAATCATCTGAGGATTGCAAGTGTTAAAATGACGACGTCTGTGCACCAAGGTGTGAATTAAAAAAAACAATGACCGGGTAGCCGGGGAGACGGCGAAGCCTTCACCCTCGAGGACGACTGAATCGCTAGCCGGGGCTTGGCTTCGCTGCAGAAGAGAAGTAGTATTTTGGTTGAAAAGAGGTGTAGACTTTCCTCTCCTCGAGAACACGAGCAATGTGTTGTTTTACGTTCTCAATTAGTTCTCCAGAATGTGAGCTTTCACACACCCAGCTTACCCCAGCAGAGTTTAACTGTTGAAGATACGCGTATAGAGCTGATCATGCATGGCTTGCACGAGATCCAGCACGGGGGCGGATGAATATGAGTTCTCCACGGCTCGGTTCTTCTTGGCATGGAACACTTTCTCCAACAGCGGCATCATTTCAAACTGCAGCTTCGCAGCTTTAAGCGGACCCACCAGATTGAGTCTCGTGGCGGCGCTCAGCACGTCGCGTGTTGTCACAAATAGATACATACGCTGCGTCGACTCGGCTTCCACGCCCAGCAGCGCACAGATAACACCAAAAAGTACAGCGTGGTGGATGCCTCCTTGTTTACTTTTCTTTGCCTCTTTTCGAATCGTCAGCAGCACCTGGATGCGAGGGTAGCTCGGTGCGTACGTGGACAGCGCCAGTCTCAGCAGAGCCGCACCTTGGGCGAACGAGGCTTTGCGAGCAACGTGGTTCGAATAGAGCGCAGTACTGCGGCTATTCAGATTCAAAAAGGATTTCACAAGTGTTTCGGCTTCGAGATCGGTCGTCCTAGCGATCTGGTGAGCAGAGAAGACGAGGGGAAGCGCGAAGTTACCGCTTTGGTGCAGCGACGCTGAGATAAAGTGGCGCAGCGACGTGCCAGCCACGAGGCCCTCCTGTGTGGCGGCCTCCAAACCCAACGAGTGCGCAAAGCCTCCTGTCGGGTACAAAGAGTCCACCATCTGCCACAGCGCCCAGTCACCCGCGAGATACGCTGCCTCTGAATGCAGCCCCATGCTTGTGAAAAATAGGAAGCTGTGATTGGCTAAGTAATGTAAGTTGAAGAGCAAGCACACGTTTTTATTACGTGTGTAAATTTGATCCAATTCACAACAAATTTGTTGCTGTTATAAAACGGCCAGATCGTGCTTAACTCGTACTTAAGTAGATTCCTATTAAAATAAAAAAACGATTTAATCAGTTTAATAGGTAATTTAAGTAAATTACAAATCGGTTCCAAAACGGTTGCTGGAGCGCGACCTTCGGGCATAGTGACGTTCAGTCAATTGTTTAATCACGTTGCTACTTCAAAGTAGAATTGTTTGATGAGACCATAAAGTGTTCTCACCAAACAATTCAAAGTGGTCTCACCAAACGATTCATCGCGATTAAACTTTAATGCGCGACTTTTTATGTAGGATTTATAAGGCACCGAATGGGTCCCTTCCACCCTCCTTTAAACAAGTTAATGAGAATTCACCCATTATTGTCAAGGGCTAGGTGGTTTTGGTCGAAGAGTTTGAGTTACGTCCAAAACCTCATAAACAGTTTACTACTGTATATCCTGGTTAAATTGCCCACTTTCATTATATAATCTTTCCATTTGCGAGGCAACCGAAATGGACAATTGAACAACGGACAAAATTTATACGAAAAAACTCCAAATATTCGGATCTACAAGACAGGAAAACAAAGATACACCCCCGCCTTGCAACTTCCCGCCTTTCTCTCTTATATCAGAGGAAAACATGACGGGAGACTCTGGAGAGAGCTATCTGCTCGCGCTATGCGCGCTGTCATGCGCAAGGCAGCGGATGCCCGAGCCCTTGCGCGACCTGCAACGCCGGTTGTATGAAGAGTATATGCGCTATCAACACGCAAGGCTTGTCAATAGTCGTATCGTAAATGAGGCTGAAGATGATATGGCCCGGGCTTTGGTGTGTTACTCTTCAGCCCGTATAGTTTGGCCGACACTCGTTCGTCAAGAAGCTTTGGCCAAACCGGTTGCCGAAAAACAACCTCTTCTCCAGCTCACATGGGGTTTTATCGACGAAAAAATACAAGGTGCTGCTTGTCGTTTCACTACGCGTTGCTGTTTGGTTAATCTTCTATTCGCTACCCTATCGTTACTGCTGCCGATCTATATTGGTTACGTTAGGTCAGCAACCAGCGAATCGCGATGAGCCGAATGCACACTACAATGTGTGGTTACGTGACCGGCACGCTCTCCTTCAGCGCAGATGACCTCGTGGTGTGGTCAAAACATAATTGTCCAGGGAGCTGGAACGATGGTGATTTGAGTCTTGCTTTCCGGGAGAAACTGAGCGACCGCCGTTTGAATCCTGATCTGCGTTACGGTGTAGTGGCAGATAGCGCGTTCTTGTACGAACGAGATGACAGGTAGAATTATGACGCCTCTGAAAGACGGTGATCTCGGTCGGCTTCTGCTGTCTATTCGAGCCCCAGCTCAGCATTTATTGGGTGCTATTACGCCCATCCAACAGGCCGCCGAATGGGGTATGAGATCGATAGAGAACGTTTGTCGCCGGCTTCTACATCCACGACAAAGAAAAACGGAAAGTTCGACTGGAAAATATATTCCGGCTTGCTACCTATCGTGTTAGGACCGTGGGAATTAGTCAAAGCCGTACAACCTTTCTGTACGGAAAGCAAGATAATTTTTGAATGTAATTGAATCGATTTGTACGCATGCCAAGCTGCCATGAATATCTAGCCACTTTTACTGCAACGCGGGCAAAATTATCACCGGCTCCTCGCACCGTTTTCGGGCTTCATTCCACACTTGCTCGCGTTATTCTTCGTAGTATCGTCTCTCCTCGTCTCACTCCCTTTCTTTCCTCCAGCTCCTCTTTGCAATGCGTTTCAGCGACTGCTTGATCTGAACAACTTCCCTTTCATCTCTATCTCGCTTCTATGCGGCTCGATGATCGGTATCTTGTCTAAAGAGAAGCTTTAAGCCGGTGATGTCAGCGTTAACATCAGCTGTTTGCTGCTGCATGTTTTGCAAATCACGCTTCATCTCCTCCATGTGTGTACTAGAACACGCTTTCCTTTCATGTGTGTCAGGTCGAAGACTGAGCTTTCGGAGCCTGAGCGTTTGCTGTTGCTGGTAATGGGAGTATGGACAAGCTCCTCAAAGTTGTCTCGCAGATCCTCTACCCCCCCCCCAGGCGAGCACTGACGACACTTTTGTTTCTGTTGAGAACCATTTCTCTCGCGTCTGCAACGGCGCGAGATGGGTCGCTGAGTAGGATAGGACCGTCCGGTAAGGCGACTGTAGGAATAGGCTCACGGCGATTTTGTCGGCTTGCGATGAAGGATGCACTCGCGAAGTTCCGAGGGTATTTACTTGGGGGTAGACGGCTCGTGGTCTACACCGACCACGCTTCACTGCGAACAGCAGCGAAGCCTCCTCACATCTCGCAACGAATGGCGAGATGGTTATCGTTCTTTGCGGAGTACGACTTCAAGGTTGAGTACAAACCTGGAAGGTTGAATGTGGTGACCGACACGTTGTCGCGTCGGCCAAATAACGCTGCTAAGACAGCCGACGCCAATCGAAGTGGGGTCTAACGAGTAAGGGTTCCGTCGTCGACAATGATCGACGACAGAAGAACGCGTTTACGAGTGACGCAGACGCAAAACAACTGCTAGACTATGTCTTAGCACCTCCCGACGCGTCACGTCGGAGGTTGTCGCCACATCTGCGAGCTCGTGCACACAATATCCGTGTGCACGAAGAGCTGCTGATTTACAGCGCAGTGGACGACGATGGGATCGCATTGTGGTGCCGAATGAATATGATCTGCGTATGCGGATCATGTACGAGTATCACGATGCGCCTACGGCAGGGCATCCAGCCCGTGAGAAGACATACACTCTTCACTTGAGAGATTACTACTAGAACCACCAGCTCAAGTGGGTGCGCAAGTACGTGCGTGTTTGCGAAGTGTGCTAAAGCGTGAAGCCTGCTGCGTATTCGCCGACTCCACTACAATCACTACCGACACCGTCGGAGTGCTGGCAGTCCGTTTCTATGGTCTTTGTTTTCGGTCTTCCCCCAAACAACGAGCGGAGGACTGGCGTTGTGGTCTTTGTTGACCAATTCAGCAAGATGACTCATCTTGCTGCAGTACCGGCTGGAGTCACGGCCGTACAGACTGCACGACGGTTTGTTGACATGTTGTTCCGACACCATGGAATACCGCTCGACATTGTGTCGGACCGTGATCCACGCTTTACAGCGCGGTTCTGGCAAGAAGTGTTTACCCTTCTTGGAACACAGCTGTCGATGTTGACTGCGGATCATCCGCAGACGAACATACAGACCGAGCGTGTGAATCGCGTGCTCGGTGACGTACTGAAGAGCTACGCACACTCGTTCCCGCAGTGGAGCGACTGCTTGCCGATGGCAGCGTTTGCCATCAACAACTCAGTGCATACCTCGACAGGGCATACACCGTTTTACGTGAATGCCATGCTGCATCCACGCCTTCCGGGCTTGCTCGGAGCGGTGGGTTTCTCCTTAAGTGGGGGAGGATCTACGGCTGCGTTAAAATAGCAGAAGACACTGATTTCGACGTGATATCAGCGGTGACTACGAGAAGGCAAAGAACACCGTGTCTGTGCGGGGCACAGGCACCGCGAACAAGAAGACGTCTGTACCGGGTACAGACAGAGCGCAGACCGGGCCTGCTGCAGAAACAAAACATCTGCGCGCGCATAGACAGCGCGCAGACCGGGTCTACTGCGGAGAATAACGCGTCTGTGTGGGGCACAGACTGCGCGCAGACCGGGTCTGGTGCGGAGAAGGAAGTTGTGCTGAACCAGTCTTCAGCACGCAATCCCCGGACTTTGTCCAGCTCCGACAAGCCGTAATACGGTTTGTCCAAGACGTAATAACAGCTTCTGTAGACCAACCGAAGCTGAACGCAAACAATCTCGGTAGAGGCAACACAAATATATTTAAAAAGGGTTCATTAGTTCTGTTATATACGCAGAACCTACCACGACATGCAGTCCCTGACTTCGGTGCAAACAAGCTTGCTCCGCGCTTCCTCGGTCCGTTTATAGATCTTGAACGGCATGGCAACGCGTATACGTTGGACATACCGTCCAGCATGCGACGCCATCCGACATTTTACGTCGGGCAGCTAAAACCTTACGCGCAACACGATCCATCTTCTTGATGGTTCAAGGACAGCGAAGCGGTTGCGCAGGCGTCTCAGCTCCGATCCAAGTGAGACTTAGATGTTCGAAGTGGTCTGAGCAGCCGCAGCCACCTGCGCCTTTTGCAGGCGCTGTTCCTGTTGCAGGACAACGATCTCCGCGCTCTGGGATTGTTCCAGAGCGACGAAACGATCGTGCAGACGCGTGAGTAATAGTCGAACTGGAGCTGGCCATACGGAGGGTATCTTTCCGCCACCGCCACCGCCGCTGCGTGATGCGCACGGCTCGACACGTTGGATTGTCGAGCGAGCCGTAGACTATGAAGCCCCGAAGACGAAGGGAGATCAGGCTCGCCTTCGTATTCTTTGAAGAGGATCGCCCCCCCATTCAGAGACATGGGAGCCACGGGGCGTCCTGATGAAGGACGTTCCGGAAATGGTGAGGGCGTACGAGGCCCAGAACCGAGTGCGATAATGTCTGCACTAGAACAGCGAGTGCCACCAGCACGGGGTGCATCCCAGTGCTCAAGTTGAGCGCGGAGGTCTTATAGTAGAGAGGGTACACGCACGGAAGTGTACCCAAAAAGGTCGCGTTCAATAAGGCGCACTGCCACGTAGCGGCAGTGCGGACAAGCAGTTCCAGTAGGAACTGCGCAAGGAATTCCCGCTTCGCTAGCGTCACTATGGAGGTGATCGATGAGATAACGCCTCGAGAAGGTCTCGAAGCGCTGGTGGTCCTCGACAATGCGCTCGCGGTAGCATCTCTCATTGTTGTTGAAGATCACAACAAATGCGCTCCAAGTTTGGCAAAGTGGCACCCACTCGGG